GCGGTGTGGTGGCTTGGAAGCAGGCGTTTCACCGCAGGACCTCCGAGGAAACTGTTTGCTGTGGACAGAGATTGGCATAGTTCCTAAGAATCCATGGACCCTAAAAAGCCAGGAGAAGTAAAGGGGTCTGGGGCCTCTCCCCACCAAAAAAAAAAAAGAGTTTAAAAACAAGCGCAACACAATACAGTTTCTTTGGAAAGAAATCCTATTCTGCCTGCAGAAAGGGTGGCATCTTTTCATCTGTGACAACATGGAGGAATCTAGAGAGTTCTGTGCTAGGCACCGGAAAGCACACTGCGCTCTTATGTGGACATGTCATCTACGACTTGAACTCATAGAAGCAGAAGGTAGGATTAAGGTACAAACACACGGGAAGATTAGAGGGCATGAGGGTGTAGATTCGAAGCTCAAAGTTCCAGTTACTCAGGGAGAACAGAGTCTGCGCATCTAAGGTGCACCGGAAGGGCAACAGGTGAGAACCATGCACCCCGCCTCTCGAATCTGCCCTTCACAGAGTCAGCCAACTACACACTGAGAATGTTCACCGAGAAACAGTGCCCCAACATGTCCAGGCTTTCCCTCCCATCGTCATTCCCTGAATAGGGTACAGCAACTGCTAACACAGTTTTCTACCAGGAATCAAGACCATCCGAAGAATAGAAGAGGGCAGTCTTGTTGGTAGATGAAAGCTATCACATTTCACACAAATATGCCTTCTTGAGTTCTGTTATCAGTGGGCCTCCTGGAACCAATACCATCACAAATACCACGGGAAAACTGTATGTGGCATTTGTCAGCACAGTGTGTCTGTTTCTCTGTGCACGTTCGAATGGGTGCAGGTGAGGCCAGAGGACAACCTCAGGTATTATACTTCAGGAGTGATCGCCTGGATTTTGAGACACGGTCTCTCATCAGCCTGGAGCTCACTGTGCTAGGCTGGTCAGTGAACCCCAGAGGTGTGTGTGTCTCTACCTCCTCAGCGATGGTTTCACATGTGTCTGTCACCACACCCAAATTTATGTGGCTCCTGCGGGTTGAGCCCAGGTCTTTGAACAGCCTACAGACTGAGCATCTTCCCAGTCCGGGATAGCTGATCATAAATGCTCTTGCTGTCCGTACACCAGACATAACTGTGTAGGACCACTGGTGCATTTGTCACCTACTTTATGTTTATCATTCACACTCTACAAAAATGTCAAAACAGCACAGCACTGATTATGAATATGCACAATTTTCATTTGTCAGTTACACCTCAATAAAGCTGAAGAGCTTTATTGTTTTTAAAAGTTTGAAAGTCTCCATGGATCTGAAAGAAAGTAATGATGTAAAACATACTGTCGGCAAAAGTGTTGGCTGGCTCACTTGTGTGAGCGAAGGGAGCAGAAAATGGTCCCCACCTGAGCCAGGCTCACTGCTGCAAACAGATGATGCCGAGGACGTCCTCACAGCACAGCAAATGGAGGTTTTGCCACCTGCTCATCCAGGGAGGTAGACGGCAGCTGAACCTAGTCTGGTGGGGGTCTGGGACATTCCATTCCCTCCACGGAAAAGGAGTCCCCAATGAAATGTGAGACTTGCCCTGGATCAGAGTCCCTGGGAGTGGAAGCCATAGGCAGCAGCACACACCAAACCAAGGCAGGTGACTGCAGATTTCACAGGAGACATGCAAGAAGAGGCCCTAACCACAGCCCATACAAGAAAAACTAACAGCACAGATAACGGCCAGTGATGTCAGCGTGGAACGGGCCCACTCACGGGGCAACCTGAAAGGGGTTTTAAAGTGGCACCTTCAAAACCAGGAGGTGGCTGCACGTGGCTTCGCCAGTTAATACTTTAACCTCCCTCTAGTTCAGCCTGGGACTGTGGAAATCTTGCCGCGTTCAGCATCCTGTGACGAGGCTGGAAACGCACTGCTTTGCTTTATTTAGCAACTGACAGCTGCCATGGGAACGGCTGAGCCCCCAAAGGGCCAGCGAGGAAGAGCTTCTAAGGCTCCTGAGACCAAAGCAGAGTCCTGGCCAGTGTGGGAGGCAGACGATGGGAAAGCTGTGCTAGCCTGGGGCAGAACGCTTTCCTTTGTCAGAAAATGGAACAGTGGGTAGATACACGGCCCCTCCAAAGTGAACAGAGGGTTTGTAACTGGGTTCAGGCTAGCCATGAGATAGACGTATTGAATCCTCTACTTTCTCTGTCACAGAGGAAATATAAATGTTTACAACAATAAAGTATTCGAGTTTGCTTCTTTTGCTGTGATCCAGACCAAAAACAACTTGGGCTTATACACCCCCACTGCCATAGGGGGTCAGCAAAAACCTGGAGGAACACTGTTTCTTGGCTTGGTCCTCATGGCTGATCAGCTTGTTTCTTACACCGTCCAGGACCACCTGTGCAGGGGAGGTACCGCCCACAGTGGGCTGGTCCCTCCTCATCAACACGAAATCAAGTAAATGTGCCACAGCCATACCTACAGGCCAGGCTTACGGAGGCCATTCTGTGCTGAGGGTCCCTCCTCCCTCGTTTGTGTCAAGTTGACAAAACCCTGACCAGAACATAAAACAACTGTGCATGCTGATTGTTCAAATCCAAGTGGAAGGTCCTAAATATAAAAGCTGACCATCTGGTGAAAGAAAGAAAAAAAAAAAGAAAGAAAGAAAGCTGGAGCACCGGGAATTTTATGGAAAATAGCCTTGTGAAAACCAATTCAACTAATCTTAGTGAACACGTTGGAGGAGTTCCTGTAGTGAAGATGGAATGACACGGCTCCTCCGGGGCTATCATACTTGCTACTTCATTGGATGCATCCTCCTCATGAAGTAAAAGAGCACAGAGCAAGACATGCTGCTTGGCGTAAGTTGCTGAGGTGAGAGGACAAGCCACACTCTGCTCCAGTCCAAACCTGAGCTCTGGCTGTAGGAGTGGGAAAGCCTGGCAGCAGCTGGCCAAGAGGATGGGCTCCCTCCCTTCCACGAGAGCAGATCTCTAAAAACCCACAGTGTGTTAACATCAGCCAGTGACAAACTTAATCTTTAAAAAAAAAATAAAACCCCAGAGGCAGGGTAGTCAGGTCAGTGAGCTAACAAGCTTGTCACATGTTTCAGTTTGCTTTCTTTGTTGTGATAGAGACCACAACCAAAAACAACCTGGGGAAGAAAGGGTTTATCTGATGACAGCACTTCACTGTCAAGCCAAGGCAGGGACTCAGAAGGACAAGAAGCTGGAGGCAGGAACTGAAGGCGAAACTATGGAGGAATGAATGCTGCTTACTGGCTTGCTCCCTGTGGCTTGCTGGGTCTATCAAGGGTGGTACTGCCTGCAGTGGGCTGGTCCCCCTTATGAGAATCATTAATCAAAAATGCCCCCACAGACGTGCCTTACAGGCCAATCTGATGGAGGCATTTTCTCAGCTGAGGTTCTGCCTTCTCGGATGACCTGAGTTTGTGTCAGGTTGACAACAAATAACAATAGACAAAAAACTAGCCAACACACCATACAAACACAAGAACACAAAGTTCATTCTAAACAGGTCCCAGCAAAAGCATCTGAAATGTCAACACTCTTACGAGGTGAAAGGCAGAGATAAGAGAGTCCCTGAGCCAGCTAGCCTGGTGTGAGCAGCAGAAAAAACAATGAAGGGACTGTCTCAAATAAAGGGGAAGGTGAAAATCCACATCTGAGATTGTCTTCCAACCTCTACGGCATGTGTGCATCATGGCACAGGTGCAGCCATGTTCACAGACATGGACACAAGTGTGCTCACACACATACACAAACATGCTCTTAACTCTCCGAAGAGATCTTAAAAGGCTCCCTACGTACGAAGCTCACAGCAAACTTTAATTTGCCCAAAATTATGGACTTGTGGGTGGCAAGCACCCTGACTGAGACAAATGTTCAAACTAAGAGACACTTAGCTGAGTCACTATTGTGCAACGTCCCCGAGGTGGGCCGCTGCTTAATTATTGCTTCCAAATCTGGACAAAAGAAAATTCTTCAGCCAGAATGGCTTCCAGGGAAAAGGCAGTGCCCACAAAGCCAGTAAGTGCTAACCAGCTCCAAGGCCTCTGGGGTTGGAAATCCAGCTTTCTTGCTTATCCCCTGCCCTCTGCCTTGCTGAAGCAGGATGGATCGCAGTGATTAACATGCCCTTACTGTCATGGACTGGGCCTCAGCAGATCAGCCAGCAAAGCCACATTGGAAAGGAAACCAAGAAGCGACCAGTGACAGTTACTTGGGAGTTAATGATTCTGTCCTCTCTTTCATGGTTTTCTTCTTGTCATCTGTCCCTGCCTCCTAGCTTCCTTTATCCCAACAGAAAAAGAAAGCAAGTGAGACTTCAGCTACTCACAGACAATCCCGAGGTGTGTGCTTTCATCAAGCTGGGTGAATGGAAGGAAGTGGAGGTGGACGTTGTAATTATTGGAAGAGCGATTATTGCTTATTTTGGTCAATAGGGTATAAAAAAAAAAAGGTGGGATGGGCTGGCCAGATGGTTCAGCCGTTGGCAGCACTTGTCAATTCTTGCTGAGGATGTGGGTTCAGTTCCCAGCATTGTGGAATGGCAACAGACAACCAACTGTAATAGTCCCGGGAGAACCCATACCATCTTCCAGCCTCCACACATGCAGGCAAAACACCCATAAACAGGAAATAAAAATAAACCAATCTTTAAAAACAGAAATGATGGGCCCTGCGGCAAAAGAGATGGAGATTTCGTTTGGCATCTGGTCCTCACTGGGGCAAGTAATCTGGTCTGTGTGACTCAGCTTCCTTGGAGGCAAAATGGGAATGTTAGTGCCTATGCTGGCAGACAGTCACAAAGGTTGAGTAGAACAACAGAAAGACCTGAGAGGAACATGAATTGATCGATTCTCTTCATCTACCCAAGTATGATGACAGGGCTTGCTCTTCAACCAAGAGGTGGCATCTCCCCATGAATATCTGTACCTGCAAACCCTTGTGATTCAATTTGCACATTAAGACTGACATGAGTTAAATGTTACCTGTCGGCTTCCTTGCTTGGAGGAACAGCTACTTGTGCTTCTGGAAGGTGAAACCAGTTTTTGGGACACAGCCAGGTTCTTCTCATCACTCATTATGAAGAGTTTGGGCTCGGTACAGTCAAAATGCCATGAGAAGATGGTGGTGTTGAGAGTAGGAAGTCCTCCCAGGCAGACGTGAGCTCTTAGCCAATGTGTCTAAAGACCATTTTGGATGTGTCAGAGGAAAGCTCTAGAACCAAAAAAAAAAAAAAAAAAAAAAAAAAAAAAAAAAGTAATTAGAGAAGCTATAGATTCCAGGGGTTATACACTGCTTAGCTACACAGTGGTGAGGCCACACCACATATTACAGATGCCAGTGGTCGAAAGGCACTTTGCACCTCTCACAATGGGAAATTTTGTATATGTGGTTTTTCATGTACCTTTGAAATGTGACAAGTTTAAGAACACTAATATGGTAACTTGAATGCAGACACATACAAAACCAGTCAAATATTCCCAAACCACTGTGAGACACTACTTCACATCACTCTGACAACTGTAACAACAACAACAACAATAATAAAAAGTAACTAGCTTTGGGAAGGATATGAAGAAATTAGAACCCATTGATGATCTAAACATAAACTGTATAACCATGGCAGAGAGAAGTTTGACAGTTTCACAAAAAACTGTAAGCACAGAATTATATATAATATACAATTGTACTTTTGAGAGAACTGAAAACCAGTGTTTTAAAGGAAAAGTTACAAAGGACTGCTCATTATCAGCAGTATTTATAATAGATAAACCCCTAAACTGATGACTGTATAGACTAAGTCTAAGAAAAACAATAAGAGTATTATCCAGACATCTAACAGCAAGGCGGAGTTATGCACGTTGTAACATGGAGGAACCTTGCAGACGTCGTGCTAAGTGAAAGAAGCCACACAGAAAAGGCCACATTATACTATTCTGTGAATACGACAAGTACAGAGTCAGCAAACGTGCAGAGCTGGAAGGTCATGGCTTCCAGGGCTTGAAGTCAGGGAAGGACTGGATGTGACTGCCTAGATGGTTACTGGTCCCACAGGAGGTGATGAAAATGTTTTGGAACTAGACAGTGATGGTGGTTGTGCAACACTGTAAAACCACAAAATGTCATAGAAATGCACAGTTGAAATTATTGAAAAAAAAATGAGGTAAATGTAATAAGAATGACACTGTAATTATTTTTAATTCTCTGGGGTTTGTTTGGTTGGTTTGGTTTGGCTTTTTAGAGAAAAGCAATGGGCTTGTTATCCCTAAGAATTTTTTTTTTTTAATTCCTTCTAAAGACATCTGTAATGTGATGTAACAGAAACTGGAGGCGGGGGGGGGGTCACCAAAGTTTTCCTCATCTGGTAGCATACTAGTAATAAAAGTGATCGCTGGGTAGGGACCGTGATACTCACTGCCATATGCTAGAACAAGGATTTCCATAAGGATTCCCACAGGCGCTTTAACAGCCTGATGGGAGAGCATCATCTCTGTTTTACATAGAAGATCACAGAGCCTGTGGTAAGTTAGGTCTCTAGCCAGATCACACACATAGCAAGAGGGGGCTCGCTTTCCTAGCCCTTTACACAGGGAGCTGGAAATAGATGAGCCCCTTGTGGCCAGGTGAAACAGTAAGAGCTATTAGCCCAGCTCAGATGTATCGGGCTCCAGTGTGGCAGACGACTGAAGGTGGGAGAAAAAACACTGACTAGTGCCTAGACATCCCTGTTTCCAAGAAGCTTGGGAGGCTGCTAGCTCTGCAGATACAGGGAGCCTTACACTGAGGGACAGCTCCCCAGGCTGCACAGAGTCTAAGTCCCGGGAAGCACCATTGACATCCACAGCCCTGGATTAAGGGCCGTGGATGTGGGTGGGCAGGGCTGCACAAGGCCAGGACCTTCCTAAACACACTAAGTTCCATTAGGTTCTACAACTTTCCCAGAAACGCTGACAGTAAAACCTATTTTATTCAATCCACTCAGAATGCTCATATGGGCCAATTTCTAAAGAAGGATGCTATATGATTGTCCTGGAGCCAACAAGTCAGATCTGGTGATTCCAAATGGGATCAATTATGAAACACTCAAAATCTTACAATGCATTTCTGGCATTTTGTTTCCTGAAAATAATTATATTTAAAGCCATACGTTAAAAATCAAAACAATGCAGTGAAACGGCTAAGTCTTGGAAGGTAAATTAAGGGACCTATAGTCAGAGAAAGCAATTCCCATTAGCAGTGGTTTGGAAAAGACTGTTGCTGCCCCCCCCCCCCCGTCCCCCGTTACCAGGTTCCTTTGTGTGTGGCCTTCCTGAAGGAAGCATGTCACCCTGGGTGGGTTTTGAGAGCTTCAAGCCTCACCCTCCTTGCTGTTCACTCTCTCTGCTTTGCACTCATGGTTCCGATTCCTGTTCCTTCAGGCATGTCTATACTCTAACCATCATGGATTCAACCCTCTGGAACCATACACCCAAAAAAGCCTCCCACCCGTAAACTGCCCTTGTCGTGCTGTTTTATCACAGCAATAGAAGAGAAACTAACACACCATGTTACCCTAATGTGCTCTCCATCTCTGGAATCATTACAAGCTGGCTCCAACAATGAATAATCCTGAAAGCAAACAGCCCTGGCTGTTGATAAAGTTAGCTCTACTTACAGGGCATGACTAAGTATAGCTGAATTAGGAGCAAATTAAGCTAGCTAAAAAGCGCCAAGAGAAGCTGTAAAGACATATTAATAGTTTGTTTAGTTAACAGTGTTGCCTTTTGTCTAAGAAAGGGGAAAAAAAAGAACCCATGGTACCCTCAATAACTGTGTGTGTGTGTGTGTGTGTGTGTGTGCGTGCGTGTGCGTGTGTGTGATTACTATGGCAACATGTCCACAGTAGACTAGAAATACTAACAAAGGATTTCTGCCTGTGTGTGCCAGGTTTTGTTTTTCTAAGCCTAAGGTTCTGATAAAGTATGGAAGGAGAGGTGTGTGTGTGAAATGTGAAGGAGGGGAACGCCTTGGGCAAGAACCTGAGTCACGGGGATTATGAAAGTTTACCAAATGAGAAGCTCATACCTTGACTCGGTTAACTGCTGAGAGGGGTCACCTTTACCCCTTGACTGGCAATCTCACTTTGGAGGGGACTACCAAGCAAGCCAAGGCTCCTAGTGGGCTAAAACCACGACTCATGGAATTGGCACTTAGGGTTAAGGCCTGTGCCAGCACCACACCCTTTTCGTTCCTGTCTCCTCCCATACCCATTACTAAAGCAGCCCGAGAGTAGGAGCCGAAGAAATACTGGTATTTTGTTCCCTAGCATCTTGCTGCCCTCTAAAAAACATACGAAGCTCATTCTGGGAAGAGGATGTGTTTAGCTCCCAGAGCAGCACCCTGAGTTGAGGGATCTAGAGACCACCAGAGGTCACTATAGAGGGACAACCGCCACATCCACTTGCAGGAACCCTGCAGGGTAAGCTAGAACTTCTGGAGGGAAGGATTCCCACAGCCACTCGCAGGGACTCCGCAGGGCTGGGATGGGCCCACTGTGGGGAAAGGCTTGGCCTCAAGGGACATCTCCTACTTCAAATAGTGGTCATGACTGTGCTGACCTGGGAAAACCGTCATGATAAATTCCTTAGGAGACATGTGGGACCAGGAGTTGCTGATTCTGAGATCTCTGAGATGGGGACCGACCAGTGAAAGCCAGTCAGGTGTTCTCACCTCACGCAGTGACCCCTGGATGGATAAACCTTTAACTCGAGAAACATGCTGATCTGAACAGAATATAATGGCTTTCCTGTCCTAACATGGAATGGCCATTTATATTCATTTTTCTTTTACTGCGGCTTTCCAGTAAAGTGCACCAATCTTAGAGTACATATAGAACTGTACTTTTGCCAGTAAGTAACTCCCACCTGGCTTCGGAAACAGAACATTCTGCAGTTCCCAAAAGCTCTGGGGTCTTCTGGGGCTACACCCCTGTTGAGGAAAGTGTTCATAAATCTCTACAAATTCAGGTTGTTGCTGTTGTTGTTTTGTGCATCCTGTCTATTAAGTGTTTGATCTACGACAGAATTCAGTGTCTGACCCTCTTTCAAGTCAGCCTTATCCCCAAGTTAAGAAGAAGAGTCATAACTCTCCCTTTCCTCTAAAACATGCAGCCTCGTCATTCAAAGCAAGAAGCCAGATGCATTCGGCCAATGCAAAGATACTCCACGAGGCCTCAGAGCTGGGCTGGGACCATTCTCAGCCCTAGCCAGCATCAGATCAAGCTGATGAAAAACCAGTTGTAGCTAAAAGTCCAGCCGGCATGATTTATGGAAACATGCCATTTGGAGGCTTCTACTATGGAAGCGAGAATAAAGTCCTATCAAAACTTGGGGGAGAGAGCTAGAGAGACGGCTCATCAGTGAAGAGGATTTGCTGCGCTTACAGAGGTCCTGGGTTTGATTTCCACTCGCTATGTCATAACCACCTGTAACTCCAGTTCCGGAGGCTACACGGCCTCTTCTGATTTCAGTACGGGGCACGAGGCCCATATGGGATGCACAGGCATGCATTCAGGCCAAAGGGAAAAGTCACACATTTCATCACCACTGGTTGCTCCCACAAGCAAGATAAGAGTAGGGCAGATGGCTCAGTCCATAATGAACTTGTTACACAAGCAGGATGACCTGAGTTCAGATCCCTAGCACCCACATAAAAGCTGGGTGAGGTGGGACAAGCCTATAACCCCAGCACTGGGCAGATGGAGGCAGGCAGATTCCTAGCGCTGTTGGGAAGCTAATCTGGCTGAATTAGCAAACTGCAGATTGGAAAACTAAGGTTGGGGAGTGGTTGGGGAAGACACTTAAGCTCAAGCTTTGGCCTCTATATGTACGTACACACACACACACACACACACACACACACACACACACCTGGTTAATGTCAACTAGGAGAGGTGGGAAATGGTGGCAGCTGTTCAGCTGTCAGCAGGGATGAGGCCTGAGCTCAGACACTTGGGCAGGTTTGAAAAATAGGTTTTCCTTGTAGGGATGGAAACAACTCTCATGAAGACCAGGAGGCATACAGTTCCAGCTAATTTGCAGTATCTCAGGAAAGCAAACAAATAATGCCCCGAACTGGCACCAGAAAACCACAACAGGGTACCCACTTCTATGCTTCGGCAAAAGAAACTACTCTGATTCAGGTGTGGGCCTTTTCAGCGGACACCTCAAAGAAAA